CATTTCTATACTGGGGGTACACTTTGTGAAAACCAAAAATCAATCAGAAATATTTCTACGCATTTAAAGCAATGCTTCCGACTGATGATTTTTAACGAGAAGCTATTAAAAAGTGGTAATGTCAAGCATTGTCCAATGTACAAATAAAAAGTGATAATTTAATCACTGTTAAACGTTCTTCCCAAACCCAGTCATCATAATCGAGTACCACTTGGTTGCACACCATTCTGCTTTAACCTGAAAAGATATGAAACAGCACTGCTGTATGGCAACACCTCATTTCGCTTCGAACGGCGTGGTGGTTAGTAATAGCAGCAGTAGGGAGGTGGTGGCTAGTCCACTCTTTCACACCCAACAAGCAAAAAGTGACTGGTCGTGGCAAAGAAGGAAAAGGTGCCAAGCGTCATCGCAAAGTTCTCCGAGATAACCACCATCCGTCGTCTGGCTCGACGTGGCAGTTTCAAACGTATCTCCGGTCTGATCTATGACTTTGATCGATTCTCTTCATCAACTTTTCCTTTGAATTGCCACGGCTGGATATTGTCGATGGAAGAAGCAACAATCTAGCATCTAATTCGACGAAGATGGCCATTTTTGAAGCCGACTTATTTACGAAAGAGAATCGATCAATGTAGATAGAACATATTGAAAAGTGACGCGAGATTTGTTTTCCGTACTGAGCACCAATGCTACCGACGCCAGGGAGGCAGCTGCCACACATGGACCCTATCTATCGACCCATCAACTCAACCGGGGACCAACGGCTTTACTTCCCCTTCGTTTGGCTCGCCGTGTCAAGTGTATTTCCGGTCTGATCTTCGAAAAAACACAAGGTGTTCCTGGAAAATGTGATCCGTGATGCTGTCACCTACTCTGAAGATACCAAGCGTAAGCGGCCATGGATGTCGTCTACAACAAAACGGCCCTTTTCAGGGCCAACATGCTTATAACAGTAAAGAGTTGGAATAGAATTTATATGTGCATGTTTGTTCATATTCAGAACCACAGGCCCCCAACGACCACAAAAAATGCTCTCCAGATAATCTTGTAATAAAACTTGGAAGCAGGGGTGCAAGTGATTTTGATTGATTCTCTTATCAACTTTCTCTTTAAAAAAAAAAAAAAGTACTACAAATTTGATACGCTTCCAAATAAAAACGGAAAGAGTTAAGATAATTGATGATTGATCAATTAAAAGAACTAAATGCTCTTCACATTTGTTCCGTACACTAGCGGTCCTACGTCAAGCTTCCGTTCGTGCCCCTAGGCACAGACCCTTCTACTTTTTATATATCAGTATATTTTTCAGAAAAAAAAAATTATCTTTCATTTGATATTTTGATCTTTGAAATCGGCCCAGTGATTCAAAAGTTATGAATTTTTAAAAATGTTTCGGACCACCCTAACATGGAAATAGTCACCCTAATAAGGAACAAAACCACCAATTCTTACAAAATTCTGAGAACCACTATATCGTTTTACTATGGAATGGCTGTAGAAGAATGACTTTCATCGCATGAAGCTTACACACTAAGATTTTTTTACAGGAGTCAGTATTTTTTTACTGGATTTTTGAATTGCTGAAAAAGTCGGTAAAAATTCAAATGACCGTTATCCGTAAGGAATCAATGAAATCAATCAATTTTATTTTCTATCATTAAATGGGGTTAACAGAACTAAGTATGTACAAGTTCAGAACAAATTTTCTCATTAATAAATTTTCCACAGATTTTTAAACTTTTACCGAACAGTTCCGCAATTCAAAAACTCGGTAAAACCGTACTGACTCGATTAGTGTGTAAGTTTCATCGTATATAATGCAAACGTTTGAGCCTTATACGATGTTCCATTTGATCAGCGTATAAGAGTACAAAGTTAATCGGATTAACCCATAGGGCTTGTCAAACTGAATTGGTTGCTACAGATTTAGCCGTATGTGATGTCCGATGCCACTTCTGCAAACCTCTTCGCTGATTTCTTCCGAAACGTTTTCAAACTCGATCAAACTCCTCCGCACCAACACTACATCGACCAGTTACCGAACTACAGCATTCGTCTGCAGCAACTTAACTTCAGCCATGAGGCTATTTTCAAAGCCCTTTGCTCGGTGGATGCATCGAAAGGCCTGTGTCCGGATCGTATTCCACCGACTTTCATCAAGAATTGTGTAGCATCGTTGGCCACACCCGTTATGTCTATCTTCAATCGTTCACACCTGGATGGCGTTTTTCTGCATTCTTGGAAGCTTGCATCAATTACACCGATCTTCAAGGCAGGCAACATTCACAGCGTGGGAAACCTCCGACCTATCTCGATCCTTAATTGTTTGGCCAAAGTTCTCGGAAGTCTTCTGGATGACAAGTTGTATCCAGTTGTGCAATCTATAATCTCGGAGTTCCAGCATGGATCCATGAAAATGCGCTGGACGATCTCCAACTTGATGTCCTACACCAACAGAAAAGCGTCAGCAAGTAGACGCCGTTTACATTGACTTCTCTAAGGATTTCGACAAAGTCCCTCATGACCTTGCTATCGCAAAGCAGAACCGCCTTGGTCTTCCGCCGTGGGTCGTTCGATGGTTAAAATCATATTTATCTTCCAGGAAAGCCTTCGTTAAGGTTCATGATGTCAGATCCGATGTGTTTGATATACCATCGGGAGTTCCACAAGGGAGCCATTTAGGACCTGTTATTTTCGTTTTATTTATTAACGAATGAAGTTCCTGTTAGTTGTTTATGCTGATGATTTGAAAGTTTACCGCGTGATCAAATCGATCCTAGATTGTTGTTCTCTACAAACTGACATCGAGCGGTTAACATCGTGTTGTCAGATGAACGGAATTGCACGCAAACACTGCGAAATGCAAAGTCATTACCTTCACCCGTAGTCACTCGGCGATCAGATTTGATTATTCGATGAATCAATTGCCACTTGAACGAGTTGATTATTTTAAAGACCTTGGATAGCAAACTAAGATTCAACGAGAACATATCTATGTCAATTGCAAAAGCCAATTCCTTGCTTGGATTACTGCGACGTAACGCTGAGCAAATAGATGATGTCTAGATAGAGCTGGAATTAGGGCGTAACAGCTTTTGTAAACAATTACTTCTTTCGATGATTTCTAGAAAGTTAAGGCTCTCCAACGCAAATCAACAATACCATCTGGTAGAGGAAGACTTCTCCTAACTGACGGTTGTGTTGGTTTGCGTGGACGTGCCTTGAGTTCTTAGAAATCATCGATAGAATTCATTGTTTACAAAGGCTGTTACGCCCTAACTCCAGCTCTATCTAGATGTGAACGCTTTGAAAACATTGTACTGCTCCTTGGTTCGTAGCGTTCTTGAATTCTTCGATGCAATCGGTGTAAATATTTTCATTATTTGGCAAATCTCAAGTAATCATGACAACAGTAGGTCTCTTTTCTTCACTCGAATTGTTTTCAATAATCAAACGTCATAATTACCTGAGTTCAGGGTTGCTTCCACTCACTTGCTATAAAAAAATGATTTCCTGAATTTTGTAATCATTAGATGTTTTAATCATATTATGTACTTGTTAGATACAATAAGAGGTTGAAAGGCAAGTGTTTGACTCATAAAACCTGTCAATTTTGCTACCAGAGTGTTACAATCAGCGATCATATGATTCGTGAGCGTTCACTCAGAGTGAGCGCTCGCGAGTCGGAAAATCGCTGATTGTGACTATCTGAAAGCGAACTTGACAGGTTTTATGTGTCAAACACTAACAGCTAATGATTTCAAAATTCAGAAAATCATGTTTTTATAGCAAGTGAGTGGAAGCAAGCCTGCCTGAGTTTTGTCAAATACAGCTTTCCACCGAAGAACGCGTTACCCATTGAGTGCTACCCACCGCTTTGTCTCGGTGGGTTTTCAACTAAGCGCTCTGATTTTCTGCGAGTGACTAGTTCTCCATTGGCACTACTCACATGCAAAAAATCAGACCGACTGGTTGAAACCCCGCCGAGAAAAAGCGGTGGGTGCAACTCAGTGGGTAACGCGTTCTTTGGGGGATAGCTGTATAGCAAACCCCACACGCATCAATATATTGACGCGAAGGGGAATTATTAACAATAATATTGATGATGTGAATTCAGAAATATTGTCAATCTCGATATATTGACGTCAATATAGCATGTATTGACAATACGATTATTAACAATAAAAGCAATCGTGTAGGGTTCACTTATGGTAAATATTTACATCGCTTGCATCAAATAATATTGACGTACGAATCTGGGCTCCATAGCATGCTGTGCACATATCGCACATCGAAAGAATCCAGGAAAGTTCTGTCATATTCACCTTACGACAGCTTCCATAGACCACTCCCTATAACCTACCACCATATGAAGACAGATGTGCGCTTATTGGATTGCAAACACCGTCGCCGTCGCCGAATCTTCCTGCAGAGACTATTTATGTTTGACATGATTAGTAATCATATTGACTGCAGTGGTGTGCTCCGGAATATCAACTTCCTCGCTCTAGTCCGTCGTCTCCGCAGTACGTACCTCTTGTGGACTTCCCTGGACACCGTATTGCTTATGACAAATGTTACAGTCTGTTCAATGATGCGTGTGATCCTTTTGATTTTAATGTTAGTAATCTAATCCCGATAATTCTGTATGTGTGGCTCCAATGCCAAAGATGGTGATTGTATATATATGTCAAATTATATCGCTTACAAAGTAATTTTAAATTTGCTCCTAAATGGCCTCCACTTTTGTAGGTTTGTATAAGCAATTTTGTTGCATCATATACGATTTGATTGCAGTTATATGTGCTTGTATATCAGAAAACACAACTTTGATATGCATGCATTCTGGTTATCTGGATAGGCTATCTGAGGTCTCTTCACTCTTCATATACTGGTACCGAATCCAGCTTGGCCTATTACGCAAACGACCATCCACTCTCAAACATTTCTTTCATAACAAACCCAAATAAGCATCCCAGATCCAGAAATAACGAACTTACCTCGGTGATGGGCAGCGCTGGATTCGGATGATCCGGGCTTAGCTGTTTTTTGGTCGGCGACGGTTGCTGGTTGATTCCGGACTGGACCGTACTGGTGGTCTGCATGCTCTGTCCGAAACCTTGAAAATACAAAAATAGACAGAGGAAATGCACTGATTAAATCGCTGAAAACTATTCCGCTTTCAATGTTATGCGTAACTCATTTGCGTGACAGTTCAATCATTTTTACTGTGTGCTTGTGTGTGAGGGTATCGCTTCCATCAGCGTCCATCATCATCGTCATCATCGGTGTGAGAATGGATAATGAAAAGTAAATATTCGTTTGGTCCTGTGTTGTTGATCTGACCCATCTCGTCTCGTCATCGTCGTCGTCGTCGTCGTCATTTTCGAAGGGGTGTTGTTTTTGCTATGGCAACCCCTTCGTGCACCCGGCTTTGGGCAAACGTGGGATATTGAAACTGATGGATGCTTTTTTTGTGCTTCCTAGGAAGCGACCTCCCGATCCATTTCCTGACTATATAGGCGTGATTGGGTATTGTAGTTAGGTGTGTTTGCTTTCCGCTACGCTTTTAGCGTTTCATTTGGACACAGTATGCAGATATTTGGAGGTGCTAAAATTGGATTTTTGATCTGATGGTTGTTTGTGTGGTTTAAAAGGAATCCCGAAAATGTCAAATATTGACAAGGTTGTAAGAGATAGAGAAACTAGATTCCAATCCACCACTTCACTTTTACTTAGTTGGACCGTTTTGAAATCATTGCTAAACTCATTTACCGGAAAATTCCTAAACAAACCTCGTTATGAAAATTGATAATTTCCTCGCAGAATCCCGGACGGTTCCAACCGAATCGTTTCATGTTGCGAAAATTTCACCTCACTCCCATGGTAGCAAGCATCCCCCCAGTAAGGCAATCCACAAAACTATTGGAAATTGTTTCTAACATTTAATTATCGCCTGGTCCTGTTGGAAATATTGCCACAATCCGAGAAGTGAAAATTACCTGCCAGTTGGGGCGGATATTTTGCACCACCGAGTTCAGTTAATTTCTTGCACGTGTGCGCTTCGGCACACTTCATCCGCAAATTCAGTCAGTCGTCGTCGATTCGCAAGCGAAAATTCGCTTTTATGCTGAATCGATCGCGTTTCAGTGATGATGATGATGATGATGATGCTAATGTTCTCCCGGTTTAAATAGAATTAACGCGCCAGGTGCACAATTTTACACGGTGAAAGTAATTTTCACCACCGGTAAATATGTGTGCCTGTACACAAACATGGGATGCATTTATTGCTACTCCTGCTGATGTGGCGGGAAAATACCATCGAGCCACAAGGGAAGTCAGCACTGCTGCTGAGTTGCAATTTTCCGACGCGTTTGGAGGATTCAGTTTCCTTGCAGCAGCGCTAAATGCTTTGTGGTATGACGCTTTCCAAACAATTCGGTCCGGAGAGAAAGCGAACATTTGCATTGGGAATAATATTGCATAAATTGCGCTTTCAATTCTAGGATTGGTGCACAGGAGGTGTGAGAGCGAATTGAATCTGTTTCAAAATTTGAATATCAAAGTTGGCTCATTGAAAGTTAATGGAATATGAAGAGAAAGACTTATGGATTTTTTATAAAGTGATTGAAGCATGATGTATTTTTTGAAGTGGTTTCGGATACACCAGGAGGAAATAAACCGAGAAAAATAGCGATTTAAGGAAAAACGAAATTGAACTTTATTGAAACGTGTTTTACTTTTGTTTACTCTGAGCGAATGATGTAGTAGAAAAACGCACAGGGGCGTACCAAAGGTAGGGGCAACTAGTACACTGTGGTTACACTCTTAACACCCCTGCTTAACCACGGTAGTCTCCAGTCCCAGCCTGGTGCGGAGTCCTCTGAAGGCGGTGACCGAAAGACCCTTTGTCATGATGTCTGCTTCTTGCTCTGAAGAACGCACGAACTTGATGATGATGACACCCTGCTGCACAAGATCACGTAGGAAATGAAATTTGGTGTCCACGTGCTTGAGTCGACCATAGTCCTTCGAATCCTCAGCAATGCGAATGGTGGACTGATTGTCCTCAAAAACTGGAATGGGACCCTCGATTGAACATCCAAGATCTCCAAGCATCCTCTTCATCCAAACGACCTGACACGTGGCCGTACACAACGCTGCCAGTTCTGCTTCGGTGGACGATAAGGCGACCGTTTGCTGCTTGCGTGTAAGCCAGCTCACGGTGCATCCGTATACCTTGCAAACACATCCCGTTACAGATCGCCGGTCCAGGTTGTTGTTGGCCCAATCTGCATCGGAGAAAACTTCCAATAACTGCACGTTTGGCTGCTTCCGATAAACCAATCCAACATCCAGCGTGCCTTGGACGTACCGCAACATCAGCTTCAAATAGGTCCAGTGTTCATCGTTGGGACACGACTGGAATTGGCTGAAATAGTTGATGGCAGCCGACAGATCCGGTCGAGTAGTGAGTGAAGCGTACATCAGACAGCCAACCAACTCCCGGTACGGCTTGTCTGTTCGCTGACTCTCGCCTCCCTTAGTCAACTTCAAGCGATGCTCGATCGGCGTCGACCTCGGCTTGGATTCGCTCATCCCAAAACGCTTGAGCAAACCCTCCAAATAGTCCCGTTGACTGATCTTCAGTACACCAGCTGCACGGTCCCTGTCGATCCTCATGCCTAAGAACTGCTTGACCTCACCAGCATCCGTCATCTCGAACTGCTCGGACAATTTCCGCTTGACCAACTGCAGAAGCTTCAGCGACGGACTCACGATCAAGATGTCGTCGACATACAGCACTAGAATGACTTGCTCCTTCCCAGATCCGAAAGTGTAAAGGCATTGATCGTTGGCACTGCGAACGAAACCCAACTGCTCGATGAAACGATGAAACTTCTCATTCCATGCCCGCGACGCTTGTTTCAGGCCGTACAGTGCCCGGTTCAGCCGACAAACGAGTCCACTCCCCTGCTCAAACCCGTCCGGTTGAGCCATAAAGATTTACTCCTTCAGCTCGCCGTTCAAAAACGCGGTCTTTACATCCATCTGATGGATATGCATTCCGCTTTGGTTCGCCAACGCCAGAACTGTTCGCAAAGTGTCCATCTTCGCCACAGGAGAGTAGGTCTCCCCATAATCAAAACCTCGCTTCTGGCTGAAACCTCTAGCGACCAGTCTTGCTTTGTACTTCGGGCAGCCGCCAGATTCGCCGTGCTTTACACGGAATACCCACTTACATGAGATCACCGAACGTCCTTCCGGTTTCTCAACAAGCGTCCAGGTGTTGTTCCGCTTCAGCGAGTTCAGCTCATCTTCTATCGCAGCTTTCCAATCCTTCCAGTCATCGCGTTTTCGCAGCTCAGCGATGGTCCCTGGAATCTCATCAACGTAGTTTACCGCACTCAACGCAAAACTTGCGTATCCCATCTCAAAATCCTGATGCCACGCAGGAGCATTCCGCTTCCGCTTGGGTCTACGTAGTTCGCCACGCAGTTCGCCCTCAGCTTCCTCTGGCTCAGACTCGGTATCCTGTTCCTCAGACTCCTCTTCGTCGAAACTTTCGAATTCCCCGTCGGATGTTTCCCTTTCCGGGTCCACGGGTTGGACACTGACTCCGTCCTCTTGATCATCGTCTGCTGAAACACGGATAAACTCGTCTCCGTTGGAACACTTCCTCTCCACGAACACATTCTCCATCAGGTTGTCCTCAACAAAGTCCACATCGCGCGCTACTACAATCTGCTTCTTCACGGGATTCCAAACCCGGTACCCGTTCTGGCTGTATCCCAGAAAAATGCCTTTCCAGGCTTTTGCATCAAGCTTACGTCGGAGCTCATCCGGAACATGAACGAAAACCTTGCTACCGAAAACTCTTACCTTCGATACATCCGGCTTCCGGGACTCCCATCGCTCGAACGCTGTTTGCTTCGTGTTCAGCGCACTGGTGGGGCTTCTGTTAGTCAGGTAGGCCGCTGTCAGCACAGCTTGCCCCCAGAACCTCTTTTCGACACCTGAATCCTCCAGCATTGCCCGAGCCTTCTCGACGAGGGTCCGGTTCAACCGCTCGCTCACGCCGTTCTGCTGTGGCGTGTACGGAACGGTCCACTCGACTTGGATTCCTTTGCTTCGGCAAAACTTCTGGAATCGCTTGTTCTTATATTCTCCGCCATTGTCACACCTTAGACGAGAAATCTTCTGGCCAAACTTTGCGGAGACCAGGGCCTCATACTCTTCGAAATAGTCCACCACCTGATCTTTCGATCGCATCAAATAGACCACCGTGAAGTGGCTCCAATCGTCCGTAAAAGTGACAAAGTATTTCACTCCGGACAGCCCTACCGGCGTAACAGGGCCACACACGTCCGTATGTATGAGTTCAAGTACACGCGACGACCGATTACCACCGGACGCAGAGAACGGTTTTCTCGTCTGCTTACTGACGACGCACGAATCGCACACAATCATGTCCCGATTGTCATTCGCGGGGAACATGTTCATTCCCGAAACCATGCCATCCTGAACTAACTGCTTCAGACTGTTCTCGTTCAGATGGCCGAACCGTCGGTGCCACAATTCTGAACTCTTCCGAATTTTACCGCACGACAACAAGGCATCACCGGCATTGTGCCCAACCGAGTAGAAATCTAGTTCGTACAACTTTTCGCGACGAGACGCACTCGCGACGACTTCGGAACCTCGATAGACTTTCGCTTTCCCGGACTCGAACACCACACGCATACCGGCTTTTTCCACCTTTAGCACTGAAAACAAATTGCAGCGAAGTTTAGGTACGAACAGTGCATTTTCGACCGTGCACTCAATCTGTTTCCCGTCAACGACCGAAATCACTTTCACTGTGCCGGCATGTTCGGCCACAATCGTCTCACCGTCCTTTGCAATCGCAATCTCGACCGGCTTCGCCATACGATGCAATTCGCTGAACAGCTCTCTGTCCCGGACGAGATGTTCCGTGGCACCGGAATTAATAAACCACCGGGTACGATGCCGGTCAGACAGATCCATTCCGCCGCTTACACCGACGAAACAAACTCCCTTTCCGTCGTCCGCTTCGGCAACATTGGCTTTCGACTTTTGCTGCTTCTTATTACC